CATTCCTCTCCATAAACTGAGTGAATGTTTCTAGCCGCTTCGGCTGCTGAGTTTCCTTTCTTGAACTCATAAAGCATTATGTGCCTCAAATGATTCTTGGGTACTTCCATGTTAGCAGGGTTTTAATCAAACAAAATTTAATTTTATTGTTCTCTGAAATAAAATTTGATCAGTTTAAATGCATCTAAACATAAAAATAATGTTCAGCTCCATTAGACATTATAAAATACTCTTTAAATTTTGTTCATTTTAACAAAAAAGTTAAAATTCGGACAGAACATATGGGATGACCTGATATTGCCTGATGAGCTGGTGAAACCATGAAATTTTAATGTTGCACTTTGAACGGTGAGGTATATGTTTATTTATTAATATATATAAAATTTGCCCTGTCGAACTAAGATGAAAACTGTTTTTTTAAACCTTATATAAAATTGTAGTAAATAAAAATTCGTTAACATCCTGTAATGTATTTCATGTCGTATAAATCAAATAATATCTATGTCATTTTTTTTATCCACATTTATACGTTATATATATATATAAAATATATATATATATATATATATATATATAATATATATAATGAAAATTATTTTTCCAAATTATTTGAAAGAGATTTCACCAAAATTTTGTACGACAAAGATGTCTCGCTCGAATTTCTTAACTTAATTTAAAATGATTCGGTAATGTCACATTAAAGGACCTTGCGTTTACATTTATTCGAGGATAGAAGAAGAAAGAAATTTCTTTATCTGTTTTTTTTTTCTTCAGATGACAAATACTTAACTTTTGAAGAAAATCGTTTGTAGAAAGTGTTTTAAGAAAATCAAAAATTTAGAAATACTAAAAAATAAATAAATAAATAGAACAAAAATCGTCCATTCGCTGCGAACCATTTAACTTCATAAAATTTTTACTTTGAAAATCTAATTGCGGATTAAATTTGTTTTGAAGATTTTCGCAAAGTTCATCACTGAAATTCAAAATTTTCAAAAATTTTCATTTTCTACACTATATTGGTAAGTGGGTAGTTGAATAGCACTCGTGACACCTATTAATATTTGTTTTTAAAAATTTTGTCTTTTCATTTAAATATCCTATTAAAAATAATTTCAAAAAAAATAAATTCTTTGTTCAGTTCACTGTCGGTATTAATAAATATAAAAATTTAATCATACTTTTACCTGAATGATCATTTAATTACAAAAGAAAAACTTGAACCAAATCTCATTTTCATTTTCTATAATATTATTACAAAAATAAAAGTTATATATGATTTTGTCGGTGAACATTTTTAGTGAATATAAACATTTTTTCCGAAAAGCATTCTTACGATGTCAATATAAACAGGCTCAACCGAGATTTGAACTCGTTTTGCGGATTACGTTTTTCCACGTTTACGTGATATCTGTCCTCCTGTATGGGCGTAAGTGTTGGACAATCTCCTCAAAGATGAAGAGACTTGAAGCAGTAGAAATGTGATTCTACGGAAGAATGCTGAGGATACCATGGACTGAACATGTGAGCAAGAACGAAGTTTTAGATAAAATTCAAACAAAAAGAGAACTTATACTTAACATCGGAATGAGACAGTTGATGTTTCTATGCACATAATGAGGGTAGAAGGCTTGGAGAATCTGATACTCACAGGACAGATTGAAGGCAAGAGAGACGTGAAAACAACGCATAACGTACTAAGTATGCTTGAGTAAATGGATGGTAGTACAGGATTTAGGAGAAATAATAGACAAAATTTATTAAGAGGAAGTTGTGAAGAGCCATGATCATCTACGTCCTGTGGGGACACAACACATAAAGAAGACGAACAGTTACTGTACCTCACCACTGTAGGAAAGAAACCAGTGTAGATAAGCCCCCTTCCTAGAATATATCCGGGTATAGTTTAACCTAGTCCAAATATCTTTTGGGGGTGATGAAACTAAATTAATCTATTTCATACCTCATAGCCTAGTCTAAACTATACATCTGGAACCAGTTTATGTCTCCTTTTTCTATTAGTAGCAACTGTTGTTTCCACAAGATAAAAGATCATGGCTCTCCACAATTTCCTATGTCCTGAACGAACGCGACTCATAGGAGAAAAACATTGTTCTTGATAATGTGATTGTGCCAGTGTGCAAAGAGATAATAATGGCTAATATGAATTTATTTCATAGTTATCAGGTATTGGCTGACAAAAATCAACCGAGAAGGTAAGTCTAATAATATGCAAACGCCCGAAACAGAATAAAATTGAGTGCTACAGGATGTACGCAAGAAATCTCTGCAAACATGTGACGCTACATGACCCTTCGTATCCATACCTATCGTCTTCGAATAAAATAATATACATCTTCTTACAGGTGAAAGAGTGGGGATATATTCTAGACTAGCCCATTTTATATCCGGTGGTATAAATTGGCCCATCCTAACTTATACCCTGGATATAAAATAGTCTAGCCTCACTTAACAATTTGTTTATAAAATGAGCTGAGTGATCTGGTATGGTCACTTATCAGATATGTAATATATAGAGATTCTTAACAAATCTAAAGAATACAATCTGCGATTTAAATTAGTCCTGACCTAAGTCTTTCTTGAGTCCCTTCCCACCGCCGTTTTATTTAAAGCCCTGTGTTTTTCTATAAATATTTTTATGCTAATTCTTCTGACGCACTTTTCTCTTTGCTGCCTTAACTTCACGAATTTAAGTGCAGTACTAGATTGGCAGCTAGGTCTCATCATTTTACTGTTTAAATTACTAAATGTTCTAAATATTGCTTTATGTATGTAGGCGTATCTTAATTCTGGTTTGTCTATGTGGGATTTGGACGATAATGTTTATTCGTAAATTAAAAAATGTGAAAATAAAAGTTCCCTTGTATTTATATTTGGTGGTTGTCTGCGTGTTGATTTGGGGACGTTTTTACGTAAACACCGGTTGTGATAGATAAACATACGTTAGATTCTTTAAGAGTGGATTTAATTAAGGTTGGTGATGTAATATATGTAGTGTTGGTAAAAAATTTTATCAGGATTCCCTCGTCGTATTTTCTTTATACTATGAATCTGTCGGGTTCCGATCAATATTTGATCCGTATTTGATTCAGATAGCCAGATTTATATTTAGATATGAAAACGACAAGAAAATGATCTTTTGTTGTTATATTAGTAACTAGTTTCTTTCTTTCTTTTTTTTTATTACTATGTGTATGATGAGAGACCTAATGTAGCTGACAAAATTATAATACAGAAAAATTCGCTTTGGCAAATCAGATAACCAAAATTCAGAGTACATTTTCCTTAAAAATGTTTGAAACCACCAAAAGATTAATGATAATTTAAAATTAAAATGTACTTCTTTAATTATTCATCTGATATTGACGAGGCAAAACATTGCGTAAATATTCGGATTAATTAAAATTAATATTTCTATATATTTCATATATTGTTATTGATAATTAGTAAATGTTTTGGGACGTATATATAATAATCTCTTGTCAATTAAAATTACAGATGATTTAATGTTGGGAATTTTCATCCTGCGGATTGTAATGTCCAAATTACGAACTGGAAATCCCGATCAGTGTCAACAAACTGGGTTTGGTGTTTGTATAACATTAAATAAACACTAATTGGTATGTCCCAATCCTCATAAATATGTTGGACAATATTGTAAGTGGGGGGGGGGTAATATGCTAAGTAGTCCACCACTAGCAGTGGTTTACCTACTTAACGCCATTTTGTTGATGTTAAAAAGATTACCATTTCATTTTCAAACCACGTTTTGGTTATTCCACATTCAGTACCCCTTTCTAGGTTACAACAGTGAGTTAAAACCCGCCTATCTCAGAAGCTAAAAATAAATCGAATGTTTTGCAAACAAGTTAAATGATGCCATCTAAGTGTACTAAACTAACATATGCAGCTATTACAGCCTTAGTATTGGATAAATAAGGCTTGAAAAATTCAAACTGAAAAGTCAGAATTTTTATTTCAAATCCGGAACAAATTTTCCTAGATTCACTTTTCTTCCTAAGTACGACAGATGAATGATTGCATAAGCAATAAAAAGCAGAGAAGACATTAATGACACTTCTAAGACTTCTCTAACATTGCGCAAATTTCCTAATGTTTTGTGTAGTGATAGCAGTTAAAAAATAAAATATGATATTTAAACGAGTCTTGATTATCGTTTACTGAATCCTCGGTGTTGGAAGACCAACGATTATAATAAAAACCGTTTACTAAATACAATTGATAAATGCACGAACAGTACTAATAATTACGATGACGAAGACTAAATTCTAAGAAAACCTAGGAATATCAATTAATAATTTAAATAACATATCCTCACCTAGATCCGCCTTCAATAAGTAAACATATTCACCCTAATGACAAAATAAATTCAAAGAAAACTTAAGAATAAAAACTAATAATTTAAATAAGATAACCTTACCTATTTTGTGCAAGACCTACCATAAGCGGTCTTCTTTAAACTAATTACAATTAACAGAAGATAAAGTAGTAATTATAGTTCAATTATGATGATCCGATTGTTCAATGAAGCTGGAGGTGTGCGTGTAAAAATATTGTGAAGAGATTGCATCGCAGTTTCGCCAGTTATGCTTACGTAATGCAGTCAACTGCTTTATTCAAGCCGTTGTTTACCTCAAAGACCGTGTACCCGGTAAACGGTGTCTAAGCCTTTGATTCATTCATTAATTTTCTACGACTTATCAATCGTTTCCAGGTTAATTAAAAAATATTTTTTAGAGTAATTTTTTTTTTTTTTTTTTTTTTTTTGAGATAATAATGGTTTACTGATAGAAGTCTTTCTAATTAACCTATAGTTAGTGGGGGAGAATAGGTGGACTCATACCTTTCCCAAGGCTATTTGTGCATAAGTAAATATAACAAGCCCGACTGGAATTGGAACTCAGCTCTCCAATTTACAATCCCGAGCTGTTATCCGTTACACCACCTGCACATCTAAGCTTACAGCACCTAGTATTTCCAAGTGGTCACCCATCTAGGTATTGGCCAGGCTTGACGCTGCTTAAATTCAGTGATTGTAAGGAAACTGGTGTTTCAACGTGATGTGACCGTAAGCAAAGACTTAAACTGAAAAAAATAATATAATTTTACAAACCTCCTAAACTTTAATCACCGTATAATTATGTAATTCCTATTGATTCGTAAAATGCTGAGGACGTTTTTTTTCCCCCTAATTGTTCATCCAATACAAAATCCACGAACTTTATTCATTGAGGCTATGGCAGATAACAGTAAGTAGCTTAAGTTATGTAGGAAATATGCCGGTTAACCCTAGATTTAAACATTTTAAGATTGTAAGTTAAGATTGTAGAGATCAGGAAATCATCCTCTTGGGTTTGGTTTGGTTTGGTTTGTTTAACGACATCTCAACTCATTATGGGTCATTCAATACCGATATTTTATTTGCTTGTGAGCTTTGGTTTTTTTTTTTTTTTTTAATGTATTGCTGGTAATTTTTTCTAATGTATTTTTATATTTGCCTGTTTTGACCCCAGTATGGGTGTTCAGTATTTGCCCATAGCTCGGACCTTAACAACTGCTACCATCTTGGGTCAGGGTGGAACACCAGATCAGAGGCCTTGCTGCCCGATGTAGTTTATCGTCATACCCAGAACGACATCCTCTTGGGGTTTTTTTCCCCTAGAAGCAGCGTTTCTTGGGAAGGAGTTTTCAGAATGAAAGTTCCTTCTTACTAGCGATATAAAAAAAAATTGAGGATTGTCTTATTGTAGAGGGTGGCCATTGAAAGACTGATATAAAGCAAAAATAAGATTCAGAAACAAAATAACAGGAGGAGTTAGAATTTACTGGAGCGGTACAGAGATACGACCATTTCACCTGCATCCTTATCAATGGATCATATGTACGAGTGCCTCTTGAGGTCGGGTGTGAGTTTGATGCCCAACAATCTTTCAAGGCATATTGCTTCCCCGAGAGGACTTCCACTCATTTTGTTTGGTGGTAGGGGTCAGATCTGCGATGTAACTAGCTTGGTCTTCGAGGCATTATATGTAACCAGCCAGTTTTTACCACACTGGATAATTTGTGCAAGATTGGAAGAGAAGATCAGTCGCCGATATCTCACCATCGAGAGTTTTTAGAGGACCAACTTAAAATATGAAAGAATATCTAAGTGAGGATTAATTTCTTTCATATTTTACACTCACGCTGGAGTATTTACAACTTCTGAATTTACGTATATTTTGATCGTGAATTTACATGTTTTAGACAAACTCCAAATCTTCCGCCATATTACTTATTTCATACCAATTTTGATACAATAATTTTGCCAACGTTGGTCCCTGAAAAAGTGTTGTCTGAAAGGTTCCTTGGTTAAAAAAATAATGAACACTAATCAGTGTTTGTTTAACACATATATATGACGAAATATAGTCTTAAGATGTGCTATATTTATTAGATAAAGTGCTCAATATCAGAGATAGAGCGTGTGTAAATATAAAAGTGAACATTGAAGTCAACACTTAGAGTCGACAGCCTGTTTCATGCTAGATGCAATCGTCAGACCAAAAAAGGTGGCCTGACGATTGCATCGAGCATGAAACAGGCTGTCGCCTCTCAGTGTTGACTTCTATGTCTACTAGGGCGGCTGGACAATCCCTATTGCAGACGCTTGCTCAGGCACATTTGTGTTTGTTCAACATCCACAGAGCCAAACTTGTCGTTTATACTTTGACTATGATGAGCAGTCTTTAGTTACAGTTTCTGGGAAAGAGCGTGTTATCTAGCGTGATCAACAATTTGCACAAGGCTAACATAATGACTTGTGTCCTAGCACAGCTATCGGCGGCCTCCATTTCACTCACAAGGCTTGGATCAACCCGTGGTATGGTTTTCAGGCACTTTCCAAAGGTGACGTACGCTGGGATCGATCCCTTCAGATAGCATCAGGAAGTCTTCTTCCTGACAAATCGAAGATGATGACATTCGAACCCGGGTAGTATGGTCAGGATGCGAACGGTCTAACAACTCGGCCACGTGTGTGTATATATATATATATATATATATATATATATATATATATTAGGAAATAAGATGAATGCACGTTATAAGTTGAAAGTAAAAAACGAAAATGAAGGATGCTGGTAAGTTACTCGACTCAATCAAGAATTTGACTAATTGTAACACGGTCTTTTTGCTACAATTTGATAAATGTATATGTTGTGGCGTCTTCCCTCTAATGAGGCTATTGTGGACTCTTCCACTTACTATAATGTAGTAGGAAAGTAAACCTAGGGGGAGAGGGACAGTGGTATAGATTGTTCTACCGAGGCTGTGACTGTTCGCTGCTCCTGTCGAGATATCTGCCTTGTGCAGAGAGGTACCCGGACGAAGCTGTGCCGATGGGCAGTCTCTCGTTCGGGGAGGTAGACAGACCCGAAGCCGTTTATACGGGTTCTACGGGGATTTTTTGGCCGAGTCTATGCGCTTGGATGAACCACGTTAAACTCTGCCTTGTGCCACATTTACCCTCGTGTGAGGTGAGGTGGGGGGGAGCTACTAAATATCAACAGTGATATAAACTGAACGCTGGTCAACCGACACACACTCCCAAGTCGTGTAACACATTTCTGTTGTATTTACTGTTCAATACACTATTTATCTGCAACCTCTTGTTTTGTTATTCGTTAACCAATTCCTTGGTCACAACATTAAACCAATATAAATTTATTTTGTACATTGTCTTGAAATTTTCTCCATTCCTAGATGTTCTATTCAACGACAGTTTTCATATTTTATGTGTAATATATTATATCTATAATCAAAGTAAGTGAATGGGTAAAGTTTCTGGTAACGGGGATTGTTAATATATTTGTTTTCTATACTGTGTTTTGTGTTTATAATAATTTAGCCCTTTTAGACAAAGGCGTTCAGGAATTCACCAATATGGACAATTTCTCAACACACTCGATCCTCAAAAAGAAAAAAAAAAGAGAAATTGTTGTAATGTAAACAAAGATTGTTGAGATTGGGCTGGGGGGACTTCACCGACTGATCTCCCAGAAACTACGGAGGTAACAGGCAGAGGTGGGGAGAGAGACGGGCGGTAACAAAAATACCATTGCCTCGGAAACCACAGCAAGTTGAGGAACAAAGATGCCCACGGGACCGACTTAACAAAACTCCCTGTCTTGCCAACTGCTGGTACTTCCCGCTGCTTTTATTGGCATCTTACAAAGACCCGGATCTTGACCAGTTGCAGAGAGGTCCGTATCTAGATATGCCTCACTGTCCCGCTGCTCACGGTAAAAACCTGGTAACTGGTGTTGACAAACATGTCCGCATTCGATCCGAGGCCTCTTTGCGTCTATATTGACACGCGTTCGCCACAGAAATATTTTAAAGACACAGGAAAATTTAAATAAAATCTTATATTATTCAAAAAAAAAAAAATCTTATATCATTTGTGTGCACATTTGTACGTACATGCCTTTTCTTGACGCCTCTCTTTTTTCCCCATTCCTCTTATGTCGCCTTCTGTTGTGTCGGGTTCTTCGGTCTGAATCTGAACTCGATAAACTTGTACATTATCAGTGTGTTCATACCAACTCTCATATCTCATTATTGGCCGGTTCATTAATTTTTCTACTTTCTTAAGTCCCCCCCTCGCAGGTATATATGTATGTATGTATGTATGTATGTATGACTCTTCCTGCTTTTATTGATTTGTTCCTATCTATCTTTAGATATATTTATCTATCCTTGTTCATACATATCTAAGTTTGTTTTTTTTTCGTTTTTTCACTTGTTTATTTCTTTCATAATTTTATTTACTATTTTGTTTCTTTATCTAAATATTCAACCCGTTCATAAAGGAAAGAAAAAGAAGAAATCCATTTTTTTATATTTCAGAAATCGTTGAGGTGATTTATAAATCTCTTTTTTTTTCTTCTGATTTTTTTAGTCCAGTTTCTTAAGAAGACAACTTTCGTACATAAGGAAATTCATAGTAGACATATAAGGAGTACAAATATTTAACAGAATTTTAAATTGTTACTTGAAGAGAACAAAATTTCTAATATCTTATCAACTATACGTCTTTAAAATCTGTAACTTTGCAGATTAATAATTTAATACGAGTTTTAAATACTATATAAAATTTACCTTTTTTCCATAAATTATAAGTTAATTAAATTTTAAGTTGGTTTCCACTCGATAGGGATATCTTATTAATAATTTTCTATAAAAAGAAATTTTTATTTTATCTGAAACTGCTTAATAGAATATATTCTACTAATGTGTTCGCTAGATTTCAGTCTGTCGAAATTGTTCGTTTTACAAAATGTTAATTTATACAGATTTTTAAATTTTTCTTTCACAAACCTTTTACATATTGATCTGAATTCTTCCCAGAATCACATTTTGAAATTAATTTAGTAATTAATTATTTCTATAATAATCATTTATATAATTAATAATTCGATATCTTCATATATAAAACGCTATTTTATCGATATTCAATCGTCGATCCCTGAAGAAGAATGGTGAAAATATCGTTGAACGAAAATTGAATTTTACTCAAGTTTATATTGTATTTTATTGCCATGTTGTTTGCGGATGCAGTCGGCGATCCTGTTTCGACTCCACAGATTCAATCAAATGAAAATATTTAAAAAGAAACAAAGCATTTCACAATTTTATACAATAATCAGAAATAATTTTTATAGCCAAATTTTCTCCAATCTTCTATCTTAATGGCACAAAGATTTTTTTACAATAAAATTTAATTTTTTACAAGGTTACTTTTTTGTAATTCAGTATCGATTTCCCGCTAAAATACTTTTCTTACCTACAATGTAACAAATTTCTACATAGTATTTACACTGTTTAAGGTATTGCTGTTTACTTAATTTAACTTCTTTTAGAATAAAGATACCATTATATGCCACTCAGTGAGGATCGATCTCACTATTCAGTAGTGCGAAACAACCTGAATAGCTCGTTATCGCACTATGGCTTACGAATATATCACTTTGAAACACCGGTTCCCGTACGATCAACGAAGTTAAGCAACGTCAAGGCTGGTCAGTGCCGAGATGGGTGACCGCTTGGAATATCAGATGCTGTCAGCTTGGATGTGTTTGGTGGAGTAATGGATAAAGGCTCGAAATTGGAAATAAGAAAACTGAGTTCCAATTCCAGGTTCGTTATATTCACTTATGCAAAAATACCCTTGGAAAAGGTAGGAATCCACCTCTTCTCTCCCCAGCGATGGAGTAAGATTTATATCTGTAAATCATTATTATCTAACAAAAAAAAAAAAAATCCTGACAATTTAAAAATATTCTTTGGCTTTAAATAACCTGCAAGGGGTTGATAAGCTGTAAAAAAAAAAAACAAAAAAAAAACAAGTCAGTCAATCAATGAATTACCTACCTATTCCAGGAGGAAGTGCTGCTTTTTTTTTTGTCGAATAGACTCCTGCGTGGATATGTTTCTACAATCACACTGCATTATTATCCTCTTCAAGTGTTTAATTGGAAAGTCGAGTTCCAATTCCAGTTGGCTTTGTTATATTCACTTACCCGCAGATAAGCTTGGAAAATTTTCCCCCAGCTATGGATTAATTAGTAATACTTCTATAACTAAAACATCATTATCTAAAAAAATTATAAAAAAAAAACATAAAACCGAATCCGCCACTTCTTCTCCAGCTATGGGTTAATTAATAAGACTTGTATAACTAAAACATAATTATCTAAAAAAAATAAAATTGCATAAAAAATATTTCGGTATTATATAACCCATGAAAGTTGATATACCGCTAAACTAAAACTAAACCAACCAACTATTGCACTATGCATAGGCGCCTACATTTTATTGGTTATTGCAGGTAACCTAAATATGATTTAGCGTATACGAGAGAACGTAAGTAGGTTATCTGCAGATAATCATACATCATTGTATAAATGTCATTTGAGAATCCACAGTATAGCAAATATGTACACATCATTTACATTGTATTACGTTACAGTTAAGTAATGGATAGCGGCTCGGATTGAGGAATCAGAGAGCCGAGTTCAAATTCCAGTCCAATCCATTACATTCACTTACGTGCTTATACCCTTGGGAAAGGTATGAATCCTCTTCTTCTTCCCCCAGCTATGGGTAAATAGCAAGACGGGTCGAGTTCTATAGCCTTGGATGGCTACTTGTCTACCGCTGAAAGAAATGACAACCTACTGCGGGAAAAAAATGTGCCTCGTCAGTCATGTATCGAAAGCCTAAGCGTGTATCACGTATGGCACATAGCTGAACTGAGATATGATTTAGAGTATACGTAATATAAATACGTATAAAGTAGAGGAAATGGTTTCCTGGCATTTGCTTTTTATTACGTATTATAAGCAATCTAGAGATAATCTAAAATATACAAGAGAACGTGCGTAATATACAAGAGAACGTGCGTAGGTTAAATGTCGATACAAGGCTGTTTTATATGAAGAACTTGAGCCTCCTCGGGCTTCCCTGGATTCAACCTCCTCCTGAATACATTAAAGCTACAAGTGATAAGATTTGCATACGTGTGTTTATTTTCACTATGAAGTTCCCATCAGAAATTAATGAGACTGTAAATGTAGCGTATAAATTATTATAGGCACAGGCACATATTACTTGCACATTATTTGTTTCTTAGAAATATCTGGTGTGGAGATCTGATATTTTTGGGTGCAGGGCCGGTGCGTACTATCCCCGAACCCCACGACTGGAGGGGGGAAGACGTGATTGGACGAACAGGGCAGTGTTTTGTGACCCTCACTATATTACTAACATTTTCTGTTTTTACCTACACTTACATACGTCACAAATTAAGCTCAGCACACGTGACTATTAAAGGATGGAAAATCTTCACTGATTTTGAAGTGAATCTAGGGTCTTTTTGTCAAAATCTGTGAATTTGTTTTGTTCATGTTTAGTCTCGAAAAAACACTATATACAATTCACTAATTTTTATCCATAATGTTGGGTTAAATTATTTAAGATAAATCTTAAGTTGATATTAAAATAACCGCAAAACATCGTTGATTTATTTTATATGGAATGATCTATTATGACATTCTCTAATTTGTATTTATATCCATTGTATGTATTTATTTTTTTCATCACAATGTAAGTTTATCATTTCTAATTAAAAGAATGCTGCAGATGGTAGAACGTTATGTTCAGCTATCAAGTGAAAGCTCATGTAAAAACCCAAATTCCCTCTTTGCAAGTTTTCCTGATTAAACCCTGAAATCTACTATAAATGACACACTTTCAGATAGAAGAGATGATAGGCTAATTCTAGATGCTGTTTCCTCCAATTCAGCCATTTTCTGGATTGCTTGGTTGATTTCATTGCGATGAAATACACAAATACTTTCCGAACACGCTAATATCCAGTAGTTCAAAAATGGCGATGCCGTTCAGTTTTCTGTTTATATACAGAACTCATTTTTTTATCGTTTGTCACAATATAAGTTTAGCATTTCTGGTTAAAAGGACGCTGTAGATGGTGGAACGTTGAGTCCGGCTCTCAAACGAAAGTTCATGGGAATCACAAATTGCCTCTTTGCAATTTTTTCAAGTCTACAGACTTCAAGGGGAACTCGTACATACGATCCATCGCTAAAGATGCTGAAAAAATGCTCGATTCCCTGTACATCTCCAGTAAGTGCCTGTCTCCTCTACCTCTACAAGAGCTAGATAAGGCCAAAAATGTAGCACTTGCTACAAGAGCGAGATAAGGCCAAAAATGTAGCACTGCTACAAGAGCGAGATAAGGCCAAAAATGTAGCACTGCTACAAGAGCGAGATAAGGCCAAAAATGTAGCACTGCTACAAGAGCGAGATAAGGCCAAAAATGTAGCACTGCTACAAGAGCGAGATAATGCCAAAAATAAGCACTTGCAAAGCGAAAGGCCAAAATGTAGCACTGCTAAAAGAGCGAGATAAGGCCAAAAAGCACTGCTTTAAAAGCGAGATAAGCAACAAAAATTCACTGACTAAAGAGCGAGATAAGGCCAAAATGTATTGCTACAAGAGCGAGATAAGGCCAAAATGTAGAACTGCTGTTAAAATGTAGCACTGATACAAGAGCGAGATAAGGCCAAAATGTAGTACTGTTATATAGGAGCTGTCCAGTCTTCACTTTTCAAAAGCATATTCGCGTCCTTGTGGGTGACGAATTATTTTCCACCTAACAACTCTTTTTCTCACAGATGAAACGCCGCAAGCCCCTTCCTGCTCAATCGCTATTTCCATAGAAAGTGTTCAGACGAACTACAATCCTTAGTTCCACCAGTTCTAACCTATGCGGCTGAACCGACATGCCACGCACATTGTAGTGAATCACCCTCATTCCGTTTATATTCCATTAGTAAGGTGTAAGTTCCACTTGTGCAGCTTCTTCCCACGAAGCGCTGCTTTGTGGAACCGACTATCCGATCACTCTAATTTTAACATGTTCAAGTCTAGGGTTAACTGTTATCTTCCCCCGACATATCCGCATAAAATGAGCCTCTTACTCTATAACCCTCTACCTCGAGTGATTCTTGGGCCTTGTATAAGAGGAACATCAGAGTATAAAAACATAAATAAATGATAAACTGTCGGATAGAAGAGATGAAAAATTAATTCAAGGCGCTATTTCCTACCATTCAATTTTGGTTCTGCTTAGGGTTGACTGGCTCAGAACTCATCCCGGTGAGATGCGTGATTACTTTCCGAACACCCTAATGTTTGTGAGGATGCACCGATGCTGATCCAGTCAATATTTCAGGGAAACTAAAACAAGGCATCAATATCTTAAGAATCTATATATACCCTGTCATTGACTAATCAATCTTAACCCAACAATAATAGAATATATGAGATTCTACAAGTCGCTCTCTCTCTCATACATTTATTCTGCATAAACTGAAAAACACTATTGGTCATCTTTACGTAGGTTTCAGCAAAATAAAGGACTGTCTTTTTGTTCTCGGGAACGATATCTGATTAAGTGAATACTTTTTGTCTTATTCTATGGCCTTAAAAAATACATGAAAATGCCAATAGAAAAAAGAATAGTGCTGAAGGGCTATGTAATATCAATCCTCCTATATGGTAATAAGCGCTGGACAATCTCCTCACTGATGAAGAATAGACTTGAGGCAACAGAAATATTGATGATGAGAATAACATGGACTGAACTTGTAAACAATGAGGAAGTTTTAAAGAAAATGAGAACAAAAGGGACAGTTATATTTAGAATCAGAAAGAGGCAGTTGAAATACCCGAGATACGTAATGAGAAAAGAATGCTTAGAGAGATTGACACTCACAAGGTATATTGAAGAAAAGAGGAAAACAGAGTAACCTACTTAACGAGATTGTATAAATGGATAGTTTAACAGAGATTCTGAGGGAGAGTCAGGGGACAAACATTGCTTAGAGCTACATAGAATGAGAAGGTGTGGAGAGCTAGGATCCAAACAGCAATTATATCAGTTAACTTGGCCTGATGCAAGGTCAAATGAATCAGAAACGAATGGCAACCATGAGGCAGACCAAAGGCGCCGTTTGTAGACTCGACTTTTGATTCCCTCTGGGTTTTGCAAATTTACTTCGATTCATTAAAGCGGCTTTTGTCTGCGAGTTCAACGTCCGCTAATTGTGGCAATAGTCGTTAGTAAAATCACCACGAAAAAAAAATTCAACATATTCTATTAGATTATCGAATTTCATGATTTCTGATTAACCTAATTGATTTATCGGGTTCTCTTTTAATTTTGAACTAACACAACTGATTTTTTCAGTAGCTAGTTGAACAAGGCAAATGTGATCTAATTAATAAACCCGGATTAAATAACATAATACCTTCTTGTTTCACTTCATCGCAAAAAGGATTCATGCGACGGTAATTCTAAATTCTAGAAAAAGAAATACTGTACTATTGGCTAATTTAAAACATCAGTAATAAAAGTGATCCTGGGAAACATATTTGACACAACTTTAGCATCCTCCTCTTTAGAATGCTTTATGGTGGAGTAAGTCCATTGGCTAAAATTATGAGATTAATATAACTTACGATTACCAACATATTCCAAG